TCTCTAGCAAAGTGCATTTGGGACTTGAAACCAGGAGTTACCTGTACTGGAAAGGCACACTGGAACAGCCAGGTCTTCAGGCTCTTCCTAAAGACAGCCAACGTTGGGGCTTGTCTGATGTACTTGGGGAGAGAGTTCCAGAGTCGGGGGGCCACCACAGACAAGGCCCTGTCCCTCGTCCCCACCAAACGCGCCTGTGACTTCCCAAGGGTTAAGGACTGTGTGGTGCATCGGCAAATAATGTGTGCAAGATCCCAGTAAGGCGGCCTTCTGTTGCTAGCAAATGGTAATTTTGTCAGCGCCAATTGTGTTTAAGGCCAAGGTCTTTAGGCACTGCACCCAGTGTGCCAATCACCACTGGGACCGCCTTGACTGGCTTGTGCCAGAGTCTTTGCAGTTCAGTCTTTAAATCCTTGTATCGTGTCAGCTTTTCCAGTTGTTTCTCTTCAATCTTGCTGGGTCATGGGCCCCCGGTGGCACAGTGGGTTAAACCCCCGTGCCAGCAGGACTGAAGACCGATAGCGGCTCCTGGAGAGTACCTGGTTGGTGGGCTGGCTCCCTCCCTCTCAGTGGCTTTTGGAATGGCAGCGAAAGATGGCAGAACGGCTGCTCACTGGCTGCTGGAATGCACCTGCTTGGTAGCAATATATGATACATAATATATAAATATATATTATATAAATATATAATATATAGGAGCCCCCAGTGGCGTAGTAGGTTAAACCACTGAGCTGCTAAACTTGTTTTTTTAAATTAAATTTTATTATGATTTTTCAAAGTAAAGATAAAAATACATAGAGTACTACAGGGTATAACTGTAGTATAAGAGTATAACTATAACAGTATAACTAGGGCAGGAAGGTAGGGAGGGAAGTGGGGGAGAGAGAAAAAAAGGGAAAAAAATAAAAAAGAATGGGGGTTAAAAGGGAAGGAAAGGAATGGGAAAGTGGGGGGGGGGGAGAGAAGTTGGCTTCCCAATTTTCTTCGTATCATTACTTATTTATTTATTTGTTTATTTATTTATTTATTTACTTACAGCTTTTATATTCCGCCCTTCTCACCCCGCAGGGGACTCAGGGCGGATTACAGTACACATATATGGCAAACATTCAATGCCAATTGACATACAATGTATACAGACATACACAGAGGCTATTTAACTTTTTCTGGCCGCCAGGGGAGCTGTCGCTTTCATCGTCCATCTGCAACACTGATGAAGTACTTCCGCATTCCCCGCATGCTTTGCTGGAGTGCTTTGCTGGAGTCTTTTTTATGGCCTCATAAATTAGTTAATTTAGCCTCCCCACACAAGGTGGTACCTAATTTTCCTACTTGACAGATGCAACTGTCTTTCGTGTTGCAAAGGTCGACAACAGGCTACACAATTGGTTGGAAACCCACTCCAACCTGGGCTGGCTTCGAACTCATGACCTTTTGGTCAGAGTGATCTTAATGCATCTGACACTCAGCCAGCTGCGCCACAATCCCGGTGCTTCATCTACATTTGTTGGTATTTATTTCTTCTTTTGCCTGGCAGCTTTCATTTCTGAGTATAATTTATCAAAGTCTCTATTTTGATTCATTTTGTTTTTCCCTGCGTCATTTCCTCTGATAAATAGTAGTCAACCAGATTTTCACATATTCTTCATAAAATCTTCAAACTGTTTCCAATCAGTTTTCCTGATTGGTTTCCCAGTATAGTCTTTCAAGTAGAAAGTCAATTTATCCATATCCTTTATTTCCCAAACTTTGTTTAGCCACTCATCTACTGTGCTCAAATCCTTGGATTTCCATTTTCTAGCATAGACTATTCTGCTGTGTCAAGTATGTGAAGAGGATATCTTGGTTTGTGTCTGATGTTGTATCTTCATCAGTAATACCTAATAGAAAATATTCCGGCTTCATCTGTATTTTAATGTTGAGTATTTTTTTGAATTGTTTCTTGAATCCTTTTCCAGTAGCTTTTCGCTTTGTGATAAAATGTTCCAACTTGGGTCTCACACTTCCAGCATTTATTTGACATTGTCTTATACATTGATCCCAGTCTCTGTGGTGTCATGTACCACCGATAAAACATCTTGTAGCAAATTTCCTTTAGTTTCATTGCGTAAGGGGAAAAGACCAGAATTAAATTCAGAAACCTAACTTACATAAAGAGAGGAGGATTTGGTCTTCCGGACTTCCAGCTATACTACTGATATCGAGCAGGAATTTAGGGGTCTAAGCCAGAAGGCAGAGACCAGTCAGACCCACCAAAGAGAGTCCATTTCAGCCCTGGCGAGAAAAAAACAGAAGCACCAAAAAGGTTTCCCTGATTTCCCAATAAAATTATCATCAGACAACGCTGGTTCTTTGGCTTAGAAATGGAGATGAGCACCAACACCTGAAGCACTAACACCCTGCGGCCCCACCAAAGAGGGATCGCTACATTGGTGAGCAAAGAGAAGCCTAATTTTAAGCAATTTATTTTCCCTAAGTTCTCAAAAAGAATCTCACCAAAGTTGAAGAAAGCGCCACCGAGATGATTTATTAGCGATTCAGCTGAAAAGGATGCAAAGCATCAATCATTCGCCAAGCTAAGCATACATGTACACAAATAAATGCAATTTTAATAGAAATAACAGAGTGTGTGGTTTGAATCCCCCCCCCCCCCAGCCTGGCTTGAAGGTGATTGGCTGGCGTCTGCCCGTCGAGCGCCTGGGCCAATCACAGTGCTTCTGCTGCCTTGGTGCATTGACGAATCAGGAGGGAGGGAGGTGGGACAAGGGAATACAATGCATTCTTGAATGGATTATGGAGTTACAGGAAATGTCCAGAACCGGCCTACAAGAAAAGCCAATCTATTGTGTCGTGATTGATCTGAGATAAGCATCGATATGAGTGGTACTACTTAATCCGGGTTTTCCTCTTGCGGTCAGGCAGGGGCACAATGGGGGAGATTTTGGTGAATGTCTTTAATGGACAGGCTTTAAAGGAAACGGGTCAGGAGGAAGAAGACTTTCTGAAGATCCTCTTTCCTCCTATTGTAATGTGATTAAAAAGTCTGCCAAGTGATTATCCCCTTGATGGTCAGCCTCCGAAGTCAAGGAGATATTTCTTTATTATTTTTCCATGCAAGAAATGTTCTAAGATAAGGGTTGACACAATCGCTAATTGTATCTTCAGAGGCAGGGCAACTTCCTTATACATTTTTCCTCAAGGAGATGGGAAGGGGGCAAAAGGGTTAGGACCAGGTCAAATACATGAAGGGAAATATAGAAATTACAGGAGACAACATGAAAATATAGAGATCATAATACAGAGAGTAAACCCAACTACCCTCCCCCAGTGTCCATAGTTCATATTAGCCATAGGAAGGTCCATAAAGGGAAAGATATCCATGAGGGGGAAAGAGAGCCCCTTGTTTGTGAGATGGGGGACCATCAGGAGCCCAGGTGTGCCTCAGATGGAAAAATTCAAATACTTTTGTTTCATGATTTTCAGTAATAAATTGGTTACCTTCTGCTGTAAACATATGAAAATAGAACACAAAGCCTTGATTAAATGATACACACCAAATTGGCCAAGGCTTAACCCTTATTATCCAGTGTGGTGTCCTTGTCCTTAGCAAACTATAAGTTACTATCTCTAATTGGGGGGGGGGGGGGGGGGGGTCATGTTCGACTTCAGTTTCAGTATCCACGGTTCAGAGGAACGCAGTTTCAGCCTCTTTGGGATGCTGAAATCGCATCCCAGGCGAGCCAGCAGATGTTTGTGGCTCAGGAGAGGGAAAGTTCATGCTGGAAAGAGCTTGGAGGCAGTAAAGGGCACAATATATCACTATGGAGAGGAAAACGTTACAATTAAATGATACTTTATTGGGGGGGGGGGAGTTGTTACAATGTTAGGTGGAGGGGAAGAAAGCAAAGCAAGGCAAAAGGAGATCTCGAAGTTGAAGTTGCTGCTGTGGCCACACTCCCAGCGATGCTGGCCCAGGAACTGCGGAACTCCCAGCTGCAGGTCAGATCAGCTTAAAAGCAGGGGCTCCTGGCTAGCTCGCCATTACTACGAGGCGAGTGGATTGACATGGATCAAAGATTGAATTCAGTTAAAAAGAGAAAGATGCTAGTGCTGGAAGGTTTTGATCTGAGGACTGGCTGGCTGCTAAAATTGTTGACCAAAAGGTTGAAGGTTCGAATCCGGGAAGTAGCGTGAGCTCCCGCTGTTAGCCCCAGCTTCTACCAACCTAAGGTAAAGGTAAAGGTAGTCCCCTGACATTAAGTCCAGTCATGTCTGACTTTGGGGTGTGGTGCTCATCTCCATTTCTAAGCCGAAGAGCCGGCGTTGTCCGTAGACACCTCCAAGGTCATGTGGCCGGTATGACTGCATGGAGCGCCGTTACCTTCCCGACGGAGTGGTACCTATTGATCTACTCACATTTGCATGTTTTCGAACTGCTAGGTTGGCAGAAGCTAGGGCTGACAGCGGAAGCTCACACCGCTCCCCGGAATTGAACCTGCGACCTTTCAATCAACAAGCTCAGCAGCTCAGTGCTTTAACCCACTGTGCCACTGGGGGTTCCTTCTGCCAACCTAGCAGTTCGAAAACATGCAAATGCGAGTAGATCAATAGGTACCGCTCCAGCGGGAAGGTAAGGGCGCTCCATGCAGTCATGCCAGCCACATGACTTTGGAGGTGTCTACGGACAACGCCGGCTTAGAAATGGAGATGAGCACCAACACCCAGTCAGGGGAAAACCTTTACCTTTACCTAATATATAAATATATCTATCAAAATAGGAACGAAGATTAATATATGTGTATGTGTATGTGCTAAAATAGGCAGTTGAGATACTTTATTAGGATCTTCAAATAAATAACTTCCCTGGCCAAAACTGTATTCCTATTGGACGAGGCCATGCTTACAAACCCTCTTGTTCTAGCACGCCTTTGGCTTTGGAAGCGTTAAAGTGATAGAGCTCGCATCCTAGAGCGGTCCGAAACAGCCCACAAGTGGAGGCGCCTCAGAGAAAATGTTCCCTTCCGGTGTCCGTTATTTAGGCCTCGGCTAGGAAACAAGAGCTTGGGCTCCTGAACTGGTGGCAATCACGTTCCTAGGGATTGCAGGAAGCCTGAATGAAGAGAATTACCCAAAATGAGTGAGTTCTGCGAATTTACTGGGAGGAAAGGAGATAAATCGAGCTGAAATAGGTTCCCTTCATTATCCATGTTTTAATTATCTTTAGTTTTAATCCTGATAGTCTTATAGAACAGGATAAGCCTTGGGGAATGTCCTCAAAGAAAAGGAAATGGTTGTTACTGTTTTTGTTGTTGTTCTTGTTGTTGTTATTTCAAGTGTGAAATCCCAAAAAACTAATGTGTAATTCTCATTATTATGTTAATGTATTATTATGTATATTGATATTACTATGTTGTTATTATTATCATAGAATCATAGAATCAAAGAGTTGGAAGAGACCGCATGGGCCATCCAGTCCAACCCCATTCTGCCAAGAAGCAGGAATATTGCATTCAAATCACCCCTGACAGATGGCCATCCAGCCTCTGTTTAAAAGCTTCCAAAGAAGGAGCCTCCACCACACTCCAGGGCAGAGAGTTCCACTGCTGAACGGCTCTCACAGTCAGGAAGTTCTTCCTCATGTTCAGATGGATTCTCCTTTCTTGTAGTTTGAAGCCATTGTTCCGCGTCCTAGTCTCCAAGGAAGCAGAAAACAAGCTTGCTCCCTCCTCCCTGTGGCTTCCTCTCACATATTTATACATGGCTATCACGTCTCCTCTCAGCCTTCTCTTCTTCAGGCTAAACATGCCCAGCTCCTTAAGCCGCTCCTCATAGGGCTTGTTCTCCAGACCCTTTATCTTTTTAGTCGCTCTCCTCTGGACACATTCCAGCTTGTCAATATCTCTCTTGAATTGTGGTGCCCAGAATTGGACACAATATTCCAGGTGTGGTCTAACCAAAGCAGAATAGAGGGGTAGCAATACTTCCCTGGACCTAGACACTATGCTCCTATTGATGCAGACCAAAATCACATTGGCTTTTTTTGCCGCCACATCACATTGTTGGCTCATGTGATGTGAATTAGCCAATTATGTTGTTATTATATCAAGTGTGTAATTTTAATAGCCTTATGTATAATTTTAATTCCCCCCTAACTATGTGTAGATTCTATGCAAATGATAGGTAATTGTAATAAATGTTTACATGCATATTACTGATCTATTAACAAATGAAATTAACTTTAAAGTATGTATATATAGTTGACTGCTGTGAAGAATAGAAAAAACAGAGTTTGAATTTGCTAACTGATAAAATAAGGAGAAGGAGTACTACACAGAGTTGGAAAAGAAGAAAAGAAAAGAAGGGACAATAAAGGAAACTAACGCAGATCCGGAAGGACAATTTGGTACTCTTGTTAAAGTTGGATTTCCCCCCTCTTTTTACTTCACTTATAATAATAATAATAATAACTTTATTTATACCCCGCTACCATCTCCCCAGGGGACTCGGTGCGGCTTACATGAGGCCGAGCCCAGAATACAACAATACAATCAATAACAACAACAATACAAGCAATTAAAATCAACAAGACAGTAAAACAATAACATAAGCATTAGCAATAGGACAACACACTTTAAAATCTATGGGTAAGCCAAATGTAATTAAAAATTAAAAAATAATGCTGGACATGGGCAAAAAAGTGATGGGGCATTTGTGGAAACATACAAGCGGACCTAAACAATATAAAGTGCTTTGGAGGACAAAGTGCTATGGGATCATTATTCTGGGAAGGCACACTGGAACAACCACGTCTTCAAGCTCCTCCTAAAGACTGCCATGGTTGGGGCCTGCCTGATGTCCTTAGGAAGTGAGTTCCAGAGTCGAGGGGCCACCATCGAAAAGGCTTCCTTCCTTTATTAAAGAATATGTGTAATGATAACCCCCCTCCCACACACACACACTCTCCCCTATTTCCTCTCCCACACAGCAGTATAAAATCTACATTGAACTCGATTATATGACAGTGTGGACTCAGATAATCCAGTTCAAAGCAGATATTGTGGATTATCTGCCATGATATTCTGGGTTATATGGTTGTGTAGAAGGGCCCTATGTCTCTAATGATACAATAGACTTATGTATAGAACTGATTAACTAACATGGGTCCACAACATACATATTAAATCCATTTATAGTCCTTTTTGTACTGTTTATATGAGTTATTATTATTATTGTTCTTTTGGAAACAAAATAAAACTTGCTTATTGTTTTAAAAAATGGGGATGAGACAACAGCAAGTGAGAGAAATCTACCCCCTGAAAGTGAGGTGAAATCTTCTGAACAGAGTGACTGACAGAAAAGCAAACACCACAGGGGTGGTAACCCTTTTCTATAGTAACCAAAACTCCTATCTATCTATCTATCTATCTATCTATCTATCTATCTATCTATCTGTCTGTCTGTCTGTCTATCCATCTATCCATCCATCCATCCATCCATCCATCCATCTGGCTGGAGTTACACTTAAAAATGTACTTTGTTTGACTTGCATATAAATTCAACTTAAGACAAACCTACAGAATCTATATTGTGTGTAACTTGTGTGCAGATATGCAAATTCAGGTATTCTTAAGTCTGAAACACCAAATACTTCTGGTCCCAAGCATTCTGGGTAGGGATACTCAACATTAATATAATAATTAGTTCAACATGCCCCAAAGCAGTGGTTCTCAACCTGGGGTCCCCAGATGTTTTTGGCCTTCAACTCCCAGAAATCCTAACAGCTGGTAAAGTGGCTGGGATTTCTGGGAGTTGTAGGCCAAAAACATCTGGGAACCCCAGGTTGAGAACCACTGCCCTAAAGGTCTGATACTGGAGGCCAAGCATGATCACCCATGGTTGGTACTTGCATGGTAAACCACCAATTAAGTTCAGGCCCTCTAGGTTATATTTCAGAAGAAGGAACTGGCAAACACACGCATCAAATTAACAGCAATGATTTTGATGTAATATGGATATTCCTGAAATGCTTTGGACCAGAACTATTCTGGATTTCAGATGTTTTTTTTCCAGATTTTGGAATACTTTTAATTGCATATATATATATACATAATAAGATATCTTGGAAATAGGATCCTGGTTCAGACATGAAATGCTCAGTAAGAGATTCTAGGGGCAGCTGCTATTCACTATGGCTGATGTAAACAATTACCTGCGATTTTAGTAGGATTAATTGGAAGAACATCCCATTTTTAATACCTTGGGCTTTATTGCATTGTTTACTTCTGACATCTTGCTGCAGCTCAGCAACAAAGGATTGCGTTTCTACAATCTCCCATCGCTGTCCTCTTGATAGCAATGTCACTAGGAAAAGGATGAGGAAGAAAAGTGAAGGTGAGCTTTAAAAGAGTAAAAAAAGAGCTCCTGTGGCAGAGGCTGTATTAACTGAGATATATTTGTATATTACTTTCAGAGGAAGCATGCCCATGAGTTATGAATTCTTGGCGAACATGAATAGAAGGGTGCTATCGCGTTCATGCTTGGCTTGTGGATCGTAGAATCATAAAGTTGGAAGAGACCACAAGGGCCATCCAGGCTACCCCCATTTTGTCATGAAGGAAGATACTATTCAAGCACTCCTGACAGATGGTCATCCAGACTCTACTTAAAAACTTCCAGAGAAAAAGACTTTCCAGGAGACAACTGGTTGATCTCAGTGGGAACAGAATCCTGCACTAGGTAGGTCTTTGGTCTATGTACCAAAAGTCTTACAGTTTGCAGACAACAGAAGGAAGTTGAAGATACCTGAAAACGTGAGTTCTGTAGTTGAATACAGAATAAAATACTCAATTTCTAATACAATTACATAATTCCAGAGGTTTGAATCTTTGGCCTCCCTTACCTTCTTTTCACACTGTCATTTTTCCTTCTTAGCAAGGTTTCCTCTTCACCCTGAATAACATTTTGGGAGAATGATTTATTTATTTATTTATTTATTTACTTTGCTTATATACCGCTGTAGAATGATGGAATATACATGAGAGGAAGGAAGGAACAAATGAGCAACAAAGAGCAGGCATGTCATCTTAAAGCACGTTTGGCCTCCATCAGTCACTGCAAGGCCTTACAAAGCCCAGATTATTCTTGAACTGCTTTTTTAATGAATGTTGGACCGATCAGACTTGAAGGATAAAGAAGCTGTACTGAGTCATCCTTCAAAGGGTGCTACTAAAAGAGGGAGAGCAAATAAATACAAGGATTCCGGTTTCTGTGATAGGAAATGGATGTCCCTCAGGAGGCAGGGGTTACTATTTTTCTGCTTCCAGAAATAAAAATGGAAGAGCAGGATTCAGTCGGCCTTGAGGCAGAAGATGAGAATGAAAGGGAAGAGCTTCAGGGAAGGAGGGAAGAAGATCCTCAAAGGGTAAAACAGGAACCGGTAGAAGAGCCGTCAAAGAACTGGGATGCACGGTTGGAAGAGTTTCTTAGGACACTGCAGCCAGTTTGTTCAGAAGGGGAAACCCCACAAACCCCTGACGTGGAACAACAGAAGGATCCTAAAACCTTGGCAGTACCTTCCCAGGAAGAGACAGAGCCCAACAAGCAGGCCAGCAGGTTGTGTGTTTCCCCAAAGACTCAGCCACACCTCATCGGGGGAACCCAGTTGGCATACGGGGCCCATCTAGATGCCAAAAGCTATGGGAAGAAAAGGGAGAAAGCCCTAGCTGGAGATGCTGCCAGGTTGGAGATGCGGCGCCAGCGTTTTCGGACCTTGCGTTACCAAGACGCTGATGGGCCTCGTGAGCTTTGCCAGCAGCTCCAGCAGCAGTGCCAGAAGTGGCTAAATCCGGACAGAAACACCAAGGCGCGGATGCTGGAGCTGGTGACCCTGGAGCAGTTTCTGGCTGTGGTCCCAGCGGAGATGCTGAGCTGCCTGTGGGAAAATGGCCCCGTGACGTGTGCCAAGGCTGTGACCCTGGCAGAAGATTTCCTCCGGAGCCAGCAAAGGGACAGCAGAGACCTGGAAGAGCAGGTGAGCAGCGCTCCGTCTGGCCTCCTTGAAACACTTTATCAATACCTGGCAGTTTCAACCCAGGTAATGCCCTGTTTAGCAGGTATCAGTGGCTATTTTTATTTAGCAACTTTTGTAGTTCCCTCTGCTTGAAACTTTCATACATTTCAACAAGACAATACTGGCTAGAAAGACAAGTGACTTAATTCTGCCTTCACGTATCAGGCCGAGTCATGGTTTCTGTTAACTATAAATGTCATTTAAATCACAAATTGCATAGGCCTCTTCTACCCTGCCCTATACCAGGTTCTGATCCCAGATAATCTGATTTAAACTGGATTATATGAGTCTCCACTGCCAGATAATCTGGGATACAGGGGCAGTGTGGAAAGGGCCATGGTCAACAAATCATCTCCTTCTCTGCCTCAATTTTGGTTTGTTTTTCTAATGCTTTGTAGGCCACATCTTTTTCCAGATTGGGGGAAAGGATAGGATTAACTAACAAATAGGTTTTTATTCCGGCATTGAATGTTTGCCGTATTTATGTTGTGTTCCGACATGAGTCCCCTTCCGGATGAGAAGAGTGGAATATAAATGCTTTAAATAAATAAATAAAAAGTAGAACAGTACACAGAATTGAGTATAGAACCAAGGAGGACAACTTTAGCAAGATGGGAGACATACATTTTCACCTAGCATCTGTTGTTGGCCATCTTAGGCCATAAATGCTTTTAAAAGGTGGAGGAGAAAAACAAGGTGGGAGGAAATGAACATCCACTTTTAGTTTGGATTTGCAGTTTGGGAGGGACAGGTCTAGGGGTTATGGCTCACTGCTCCTTTTGGAGGCTTCATGGCTTTAAAACAACCTCTTTAAAACACTACCTCTGAAGATGCTTGCCATAGATGCAGGTGAAACGTCAGGAGAGAATGCCTCTAGAACATGGCCATATAGCCCGAAAAAACCTACAACAACCCAGTGATTCCGGCCATGAAAGCCTTCAACAATAAATTGGAAATATTTTTGTCTGTGGGTGATCTCGGGGGCCTAAGGCCCACAAACATATTTTTAAAGCCCATATGAAGCCTTTGCGGGATGAGTACAATCTTGTGATTGCAGCGTAGTTGTCATCCAAACAAATAACTCTCCAGAGCACTGTCATGTGAAATATGAGACTGGAGAAATGATTGACAGAGATCATGAGTTGCCAGAAAGAGGAATGTGTCTCTGAGTGCATCAAGCCTGAACTCTCCCTAGAAGTCAGAATGACCAAACTGAAGCTGTTGTACTTTGCAAATATGAAACAATGTGATTCATTGGAAAGGTTGGTAATGCTTAGAAAGCAGCAGAAAAATAGGAAGATTTCTCTATAGGTGGATTAATTCAATCAAGGAAGCCATGGTCCTCAGTTTCTAAGATATAACTTATCAACTGAAGACCAAGATCTGTCATTCATAGGGTTGTCATAAGTTGAAGTTGTTTTGACAACAATCTGAGCCTTCATTGGGGTGGGATTGGACTTTGAAGTTGGCCAATAGAAGCAAATGGTTGGTTTCCAAGTTCAAATATAGGTAGTTGTCCTTTGGTACACAGAATAATTTGTCCAACCTATGATCTGTATTTCCTTGTTTTGCTTCATGCATTCAAAGTTTATAAATCTTCCCCAGGAAATGCAGGACCTCTCAGACACAGAGGAGATGCATGAAACCAAAAAGGAAGATAAAGCCAGTGCAAACCTATTGGGTGAGTTTCCATTTTCTGTTGATGACACTTGTGAAGCAAGTTGAAGCAAGCCTTCTGACACGGAGGGATTCTGAGAGTTGTATTCAGAAAAAGTAATGTTTGTTGCTGGCCAATTATGTTGCTTTTCAGTGTCTAAAATAAAGGGGCTGCAAACATCTGACTTGCATATGACTCCTATAGGGTTCCAAAGGAAGTGAGAGGAAATCTATCCTTAGAAAGCTAAATTCACTCCTGTAAGAGATCTCATGGGGAAAAGATGTCACCACTGAAGCTTTCTCGTCAATCCTTGTTTCCCTGACAACCCAAAATGTTCAAAATCCGATTGTCACAGGGACATAAGGTGAGGTGAAATCTTCTGAACAGAGGCACAGGGAGCAAAACAAACATTGCTGGCTGTTAAACCTTCCCCATGCTATCCAAAACTTTAAAAATTGGCTGGAGTCAGACTTGAAAAATGTACCTGTTCAAACTCACATACCAATTCAACAACAAACCTACAGAACCTATATTGTTTGTAACTGATTGTATTTAGAACAGGCATGGACAAACTTGGGTCCTCTGGATGTGTTGGACTTCAACTCCCACAATTCCTAACAGCCTCGGGCCCCTTTCTTTTCCTCCTCTGCCACTTAAGGAAAGGGCCTGAGGCTGTTAGGAATTGTGGGAATTGAGGTCCAAAACACCTGGAGGCCCCAAGTTTGCCCATACCTGATTTAGAAGAACCTATGGTCTGAAACTTTCTGCATATGGTCTTTGAATGTGCTATTAGTTTTTTATTAAAATCCGGAGGATAATATTTTACTACACCATTGTATGTAACGGGACTTCAGCATCAATATGTCTTGGTCTGATTCATATTTGCATTCTGATATTTCTCCTAGCAAGCGGTAAGTGGCTGAAAGACAGCAAGAAAGAAAATCTGTTACTGGAGAAACCTGAGAAGAAGTCAGCATTCCTGAAAACAGAGAATGAGAACAATTTTCTGTCTCAGGGAGAACCTGAGAAGGGTCAACAGAAGACAGACCAGCAGAATGGGAATGCCACAGAGGAGAAAAGGGATTTGTTTGTTGATTCATACAGTGATAGTAAAGGTGGTGATGAGTCCATTATCCAACAGGATGTCAATTTGAAATATGATAGGTGCAAAAAAGGCACGCATGAGCGCTCTCCTGAATTAGAGAAGGCGTACAAGTGTTGGCACTGTGGCCAGAGCTTCAGCAGCAGCTCAGATCTTCTGTCTCATGAGCGAAACCACGTGGGCGAACAGCTGTATAAATGCTCCCACTGTGGAGGAAGTCAGAGGATCCACATGGGACGGAGGCCTCGCAAATGTTCTCACTGTGGGAACACCTTTGGCTGCAACCCTCAAGAGGAAACAACCGGAGGGAAGAAATTCCATACATGTGGAGAATGCGGGGAAAAGTACATGCACAGATCGGGTTTGCTTAAACACCAGGGAGTCCACCGGGGAGAGAAACCTTACAAATGCTTGAAGTGCGGGGAAAACTTTGGAAACTACTCGAATTTCCGAACTCACTGCCAGACTCACACGGGAGAGAAGCAGTATAAATGCTTGCAGTGCGAAGTGTGTTTCAGCAGTATTGCGCGTTTGAGAGCCCATGAGCGAATCCATGTGGTGGTGTGCTCCTGCTGCGGGAAAAGCTTCAGCAAAAAGTCTGAACTTATTGAGCACGAGAGAAGCCACGCCAGGGAGGATGCCATTGTGTGCTTCGACTGCGGGAAGGCCTTCAAGTTCAACTCGGAACTGATGGCTCATGTGCGGACCCACAAGGATAAGAAACTGGAGTGCCCTGACACCAAGAAAATTCTCATTTGCTCAGAATGTGGAGATACCTTTAAGCATGCCTCAGCCTTCAAGACACACCAGAGAGTCCATAGAGGTGAGAAACAAATATTGAGGGTTTATTAGGGACAATGGGACAATGTTTTTTTTTTATTAAGGGACACAAATGATCTATGTTTTAATATTCTTGTTATGGTTTTATATTATGTGTTAATGTTTTTAAATATTTTGTGGTGGTTTTGGCCATCGAATCATTGCCATTATAAACCTCCCTGAGGGCTGAGAAGGGTGGTATACAAATACAGTAAATAAGATAAATAAATTAGTGTTAATATGTAATATTTGGGTTTAAAGTCAGTTAGAAACACAGGACTCCATGAATGTGGAAAAATGTGAATTAAAAACAGATGTTTGGGACTCCAACTCCCAGAAATCCCCGCCAGCTTGTCTAATGGTCAGGAATTCTGGGAGGTGAAGTCCCAAACACCACAAGGACCAGAAGTTTGACACCACTGAGGTCCTTTTTTGTTTTGTTTGTTTTGTTTTATTGTTATTTTATTGTTTTATCCTACTCCTCCCCTACTTGTACATGCAATTTATACAGCAAACTACAAAAGTTACATTTGAAATACCAATCTCAGTCTTAATTTTTCCGCTCCACATCTTACCACATTCTTTAAATAATTCCTAACTGGTTCCCACACCTTCTTCATTATTGTAACCTTTTCAATTTTATTGCATTGTAAGAGCAGTGAGGTCTGCTTATAGGAATCTTTTGCTGCTGTTTCATTTCAGACTTATGGCAACTCTTAAGTGACTCTCTTAAGGGGTTCTATCCTTCTGAAACGAAGGAAGGAAAATGACACTATTTCTTTGCTGCTCCATGTTGTTTTGCTTTATTCCTGGTCTTTAGGGGAGCACAGGAAGGATCAGCAAGACCAGGAGGAGTGTGTTGAGGGGCCAAGCGAGATTAAGATGGAGACAGAAGAAGAGGACCAGCAGACAGAGGAACCAAGGAAGAGACGGCGGCTCACTGGGGAGATAAGAAGTGAGTAAGACATAGAGAGTAAACGCAGGCACAACTCAGTTAACAAAGCTGATGTGTTCCTGGGCTTTACTTCTTTGATAGAAAATAAAAGAACCTACTCAAACTGACCATGCTCCTCCAGAGTCCTAAACTTACCATACAGAGAGCCATTTAAATGCTGTAAATAAAATAAATAAATTTAAGACATGTGAATATCTAAAAAGCCTTACAGCCTTTGTAAAGAATACAGCAGATTCTTTACAAAGGCGAGACTAAATGTATTTCCCTCAGAGCTACTAAGAGGCAGACTGTCTGGAATTCCTTACTTCCAAAGAGTATGCCCCTGTGAAGGAAATAAAGTAGTGAGTAATTTTTTAGTGAGTAATTTCTTCACATGATTTGTTCAAAATATGACATCTTCAGTGTAATAATAATAATAATAATAATAATAATAATAACAACAACAACAACTTTATTTATACCCCGCTTCCATCTCCCCAAGGTGACTCAGGGCAGCTAACATGAGGCCGAGGCCAGCAGTTATAACAAGGCAAAACGAATACAACATACAATAATAAAATAATAAATAAAATAAAATATATGAAAAGAAAATGATACAAAAATGAACACAGGATATAACATAAATAACAAAAACATTGAGCCGAGTGGGCAGGGCCAAGTACAATGGGTGAGATGGATAAGTAGGGAAGTGTATCTGGTGGGAGGTTCAGATGGGATGACCAATAGGGTTTAATTTCAACTAAAGGGTGAGATAAAGTGCATCAAAGGGCATTTTGTACTGAGTTGGTCAAGGTGAGGGGATTTGTTGTTAATTCCGCGAAGGCACACTGGAACAGCCAGGTTTTTAGACTCTTCCTGAAGACTGCCAGGGTGGGCACTTGCCTAATCTCTCCTGGTAGTGAGTTCCAAAGTCGAGGGGCCACCACAGAGAAGGCCCTCTCCCTCGTCACCACAAGTCACGCTTGCAACGGAGGTGGGAGCAAGAGGAGGGCCTCCCTGGATGATTGAAGGGATCGTGCAGGTTCATAGAAGGCAATGCGGTCACAAAGGTAGTTGGGTCCCAAACCGTTCAGGAATTTGCAGGTGATAACCTGCACCTTGAATAGGGACCGGAAAATGAACGGCAGCCAATGGAGCTCCTTAAACAGGGGGGTACACCGCTCCCTGTAATTCGCTCCAGTTAAAAGTCTGGCAGCTGATTGCTGGACCAGTTGAAGTTTCTGGGCTATCTTCAAGGGCAGCCCCACATAGAGTGCATTGCAGTAGTCCAGTCTAAAGATAACTAAGATTTAGACCACCATGATCAGGTCAGTTTTCGTTTTAGTTATGCAAAGGCTCTCCCAACCCCCGCCGACACCTGAGCATCAAGCATCAGTGCTGAGTCCAGGAGAACCCCCAAACTGCGGACCTGTGTCTTCAGGGGGAGTGCAACCCCGTCAAGACAGGTTGCCATCCTGTACCCCGATCCAACGTACGACTGACCTGGAGGACCTCTGTCTTGTCAGGATTGATCATTGTAGTGACTACGATTGATCATCGTAGTCATCTTTATTTTGAGGAAGATTTCAGGTTTGATTTGCTCTATCACCTACTTATTTGTTTTTTGTTTGTTTTTGTTTTTAGCAGTGATCTCAGATTGCTATGCCAGAGAGACTTTCATTTCCGTAGGCCTTTGATGGGATCTTCGCAAATACTTTTTAACAATTCTGTACCTTTTTTGCAGGCAGGGCTGCTGCAGTTTCTGAGCCCGAGGATGTAATGATGGAGGACTACACCAGTGAGACCGAGGTGACTGATGAGCAGCCACAGCCACAATGTGATCAGGACTCCCTCGAGAAGGATTCAGAGAAGCAGCTGATGAAGGCAGCAGCGCCTCAACAGCAAGTGCCCCAAAAAGCTATACCATTTGTGAGCCAGAAGGGGAGAAACTTGGTCGTGCAGTGCAAATACTGTTTACCGCTGATCAGGAGGATTTGCTCAGGACTCAGTGATGCATCCAGTATGAAGCAGCACTTGAAGGTGAGTGATGGTCACACTGACAATCCTTCAGCATTTGTGTTTTGCTTATTACAGTCAGCTTTACTATCCACAGATGTAATCACCCCTAGCTTGAAAATGTTTTTTTAAAAAATCCCAAAAACTAATTTTATACAAGAAACACTGTTTTACACTTCCATTGAATATAATACGACTCTAGTATCCCGAATAGACTACTGCAATTTACTCTACATGGTGTTGCCCTTGAAGACTATTCAGAAGCTTCAATTGATCCAACGGGCTCACTGGAGCAGCGTACAGGGAGCATATAACCCCCCTGTTAGGTCAGCTCCACTGGCTGCCAGTCTGCTACTGAGCACAATTCAAAGTACTGGTTTTAGCCTATAAAGCCCTAAAAGGTTCTGGCCCAGCTTACCTCTCTGAACATATCTCCTTCTGTGAACCACCTCAGAGTTTAAGATCATCAGGGGAGGCTCTGCTCTTGGTCCCACCTCCTTTGCAGGTGGGGGCGAGAGACACGGCCTTCTGAATGGTGGCCCCTCAGCCGTGGAACTCCCTCCCCAGTGACATTAGATCAGCCCCCTACAGCCTGGCCTTTAGACAAAAAGTGAAAACGTGGATTTGGGATCAAGCCTTCCAAGATTAATTATAGTGCAATAATAGATAGATACGGGATATGTGCAATGACTACTGAAATGGTCCCACATTACGATTATGGATGGCATAATTTTAATAGTGAATTGTAATGTTTTTAAATGTTTTAATGTGTATTAATTCTAAATTTTAATTTAAATGTTTATTTTAATTGTATGTTGTTAAGGCATTGAATAGTTTCCTATATGTAAAGATGCCATGAGTCCCCTTCGGGTTTGAGAAAGGTGGGGTATAAATAGGGTAAATCTATATAAATAAAAATGTAATGTTTGTGGAATTAACAGAACTCAAAAACCACTGGACGAATTGCCACCAAATTTGGACACAATACACCTCTCAAGCCAATGCGTGACCATCATGCATAAAAACATAGAAAAACACAGCAGAAGAGACTTAAAAAGCCAAAAAACAAAAATTACATTACAATGCATGCACAAACCCACATATATACACATATATATTGTGCTGTCGCACGCTGGGCCTGTGCATTAGACTGTACACAGGACATAAATTCTTTGTGCCCAACGGGACGCCGGGGCTGCCTCAGATTAAAGGCCCTTAGATTCCCCCAAACAGAGTCTTTAGAATGCTTAAAGTAAGTCCAACAAAGTTCTTTATTAAGGAACAAACAGGTACTTTAACGGTTTTCTTAACAGTCTATAGGTTCTTTCAATCTTGTCCACTAGGAACAGGCACTGTCTTCTCAACTGTAACTAACTGATGGGGAAATCCTAGCTTCTAATCTGGGCAGTCTGTACTTGCCTCTGTTGACGTGGAGCCCCTGCACCCGGTACCAACTGCGTCTGGCTTCCGCGAGCGACCCTTGCCTCAACAGAGCTTTGTAGACCTCCAGGGAAAAAGAAGGTGTTCAGGTTGCTGTGATGGCCGGCTGGAGTCCCTCAGCCAAGCTGTGGCTGTATGTCTCCTGGCCAAGCCGTAGGGCTGTATAACCCCGGCCAAGCTGTAAAAGACGAAGCTTTTCTACAGGAGCCACTTCGTTCTATGTCCTGTGCGCAAGGCTTCTCTGTGAGAACTAATTCAAAATGGCTCCTGTTCCCTCCAAAACTCAAAAAGGGGCGGGACCAGGGAACCTAACTATAACTGGCAGGTGGCTTACCCTATAAATGCAAATTATAACAGGAAACCCCCTGCTGCAAAATCCCAAGCATGGGATTGCACACAAACATTTAAACACAGCAAATAAATCTGGAGCTCCTGGAACAGCTGTTCCAGAACATATATACACACACATATATACACACAAAATGCACTTACACACACTGGGCCACAGCAATGTGTGGCAGGGGACAGCTAGATATAAATAAAAATGCAATGTTCATTTGTGGGATTAACATAACTCAAAAATCACTGGATGAATTGACACCAAATTTGGACACAAGACACCTAACAACCCAAAGTATGTCCTTCACTCATAAAAATACTAAAAAAACACACCAGAAGAGACTTAAAAGCCAAAAATAAAATACATTACAATGCATTCACACACACACATATGCAGACACACATATATACACATATACACAAAAATATGCACACATACACACACACAAAACACATATACACAGACTGGGCCACAGCAATACATGGTAGGGGATGGCTAGTAAATAAATTAAAATATATAAATATCTTCCATGGATTTTGGTATCCATGGGGAGTCGAGGAACCAAATCCTAGGGGATATTAATAGTCTACTCTGTATTGCAACAGGAAAAAGTGCAAACATTCAGGGAACAGATACTCTGCTCTAGGATCCCCCTGTATCTGCACAAAGTGTCAACAAGATGGAGCAGGAAAAAATTGCTAGAAATTCTTGTTTTGTTTTGAAAAACTTTTTTAAAAAAATATTACATCATGCAGCATGAGCCTGGAACCTATTTAAAAGATGAATTGTCTCTTCTGGAGGTGATTCACCCTTTCTATGTCCAAGAAAGGTAGGGTGATCCAAGGTCTCTGTAAATTCACAAGTACACCTACTAGGAGCTGTGCTGCTCTATTTGTGAACAAATTTGTGAACATCCTGTGGCTCCTCCACAATAACATGATGGCAACAGTCTTGGACAACAGTGTCTGGTGTTATAGAATAGAATAGCTTTGTTGTTATTGTACTATTTCACAACAAAATTATCAGACATCTCCCACTGTCTCCTTTTGTGTTTAATATTTTTGAAATATCTTTGTCGGTTTTAAGATTTGCTTTCCTTATTTTTCCTCTCTCCTCAGAAGGCTCATCCTTATAAGCTGAATGCCATTCTCGAAATCACAGGAGATAGAAGGCCTGTCCCTTCAGAAGAACCCGTGCATTTTGATCGGGAAGGGGACAATATTGCTGATGTTTATGGTCCCCCTGCTGTGAGGATCAGGAGATCTGGCAAGCAGAATGTCACCCAAAAAATTCTCGATAGGACCCTCATGGATTACATTACGGAGGAGCTTGTTCCACTTCAGACTGTGGACAAACCTACTTTCCTTGCACTGGTTCGACTGGGTCTTCCAAAGGACCTCACCGTCATGTCTGCCAAGACCTTGAGAGACAGAATTGAAAAGAGGGTGGCCGGCTTACAAGAAAGCCTTGTAAGCCGGATGAGTTCCATGTCCCATGTTGCGACTGTTGCCAATTGCCAGACTGATGGCAAGAGGACCTTCTTAGGGGTCACGGCCCACTGGATCAGCCCCATTACGCTGAAGCGGGAGTTTGGGGCTTTGACGTACAAGCGCTTGAAAGGACCCCTCACTTACAGCGTCCTCACCAAAGCCCTGCATGACGTCCACACACAATATGGGATTCGTGACAAAGTTGTATGTTTGACCACAGACAATGGTTCCAACTTTATGGAAGCATTCCAAGGTTTTGGGGCCAAAGAACCTGTAGACTCCAGTTCAGAGGAGGAGGAGGATGAGTATGATGTCAACCAAGACGAGCCTGGAATGGAGTTTCTCCCTCTTTCTGATATCCTGGATACAGGCAACCTGTCAAATGAATATGCTCCAGAGTCAGATCTCAGTTTGCCACCACACCACAGATGTGCCAGCTACACTCTTAACCTGGTAGCAACTCATGACGTTGCAGCCATGATAGCTGGCTCCACCCAAGATGGCCCCTTTGGTCCTTTCCAGAAACACTTTTGTGCCTTGGTGAGAAAGTGCCGAAAGCTGTGGTCGAAGCAGAACAACTCAGTGCTAGTTGCGGAGTACATTTATGAACAATGTGGTACGTATTTGACAGTCCCAAACTGGAAACAGTGGAATTCAGTCTTTGATGCACTGAAGCAATTGAACAGGCTCCTGTCTACTGTGCCGCTAAAAGTGGATGCCGTAATGGACATGTGTTTTTTGGCTAGGGTCACTGCTGATGAGCGCCTAGTGTTGCAGGAGTACACTGAGATCATGGGGCCACTTGCGTTGTCCCTTGATATCCTGCAGCGGGAGAATGGCATGTTCATGGGGTACCTGCTGCCAACTCTATACAGCCTGGAGCGCAAGTTGCAAGAGCTGGAAAACAAGCCTGTACCATATGTGTACTGTCTTCCACTCTTGAGAGGCCTCCGGGAAGCCCTAAGGAAGCGGTTTGCAGGCATTTGGGAGGACAACGAGCTTCTTCTGGCAGCCTGCTTACACCCCCGATTCAAAACAGACTGGCTGGATTCAGCTCAGACTACTCAGATCAACAGGTAAGAAGGTGAGATTTAAAGGGTCTCCATTTCAATAAAGCTATAATACTAATACTATAACCCAGTATTTCTCAACCTGGGGGTCGGGACCCCTGGGGGGGTCACGAGGGGGTGTCAGAGGAGTTACCAAAAACTATCAGAAAACACAGTGTTTTCTGTTGGTCATGGGGATTCTGTATAGGAAGTTTGGCCTAATATGTAGACCGCCCTGAACCGCCTCTGGGCTAATATGGGCGGGATATAAATAATGTAAATAAATAATAAATAAATTCTATCGTTGGTGAGGTTCAGAATGTCCTTTATAGGTGAACTATAAATCCCAGCAACTACAACTCCCAAATGTCAAGGTCTATTTTCCCCAAACTCCACCAGTGTTCACATTTGGGCATATTGAGTATTTGTACCAAGTTCGGTCCAAATCAATCATTGAGTTCACAGTGCTCTCTGTATGTAGGTGAACTACAACTCCAAAACTCAAGGTCAATGCCCACCAAACCCAGTATTTTCTGTTGATCATGAGAGTTCTGTGTTAGCCAAGTTTGGTACAATTGCATCGTTGGTGGAGTTTGGAATGCTTTTTGATTGTAGGTGAACTATAAATCCCAGCAACTGCAACTTCCAAATTACAAAATCAATCCCCCCCCCCCCCCCCAAACCCTACCAGTATTCAAATTTGGGCGTATTGGGTATTTGTGCCAGTGATTGAAAATACATCCTGCATATCAGTAGAAACAGCACTGTATATGCTTTGAGAAATAAAGCCTTCCCATTCTGGGTTGTTGTAGATTTTTCGGGCAGTATGGCCATGTTCTAGAAGCATTCTCTCCTGACGTTTCACTTGCATCTATGGCAGGCATCCTCAGAAGTTGTGAGGTCTGTTAGAAACTAGGAAAATTGGGTTTATATATCGATGGAAAGTCCAGGGTGGGAGAAAGAACTCTTGTCTGTTGGAATGTTTCAGTTGGCCACCTTTATTAGCATTTGATGGCCTGACAATTTTTAGGTGTGGCTTGTTACTGCCTGGGGGAATCCTTTGTTGAGAGGTGATTTGCTGCCTCTGATTGTTTCTTGTCTGGAGTTCCCCTGTGTTTGAGTGCTCTTTATTTACAGTTATAATTTTAGAGTTTTTTTAATACTGGAAGCCAGATTTTGTTCATTTTCATGGTCTCCTCCTTTCTGTTGAAATTGTCCACATGCTTGTGGATTTCAATGGATTCTCTGTGTAGTCTGACATGGTGGTTGTGAGAGTGGTCCAGCATTTCTGTGTTCTCAAATAATATGCTGTGTCCAGGCTGCTCTGCTATGGCTGACTTCTCTGGTAGAATGAGTCTGCAGTGCTTTTCATGTTCCTTGATTCGTGTCTGGGCAATGCCACTGCATTTAGTGGTCCCTATGTAGACTTGTCCACAGCTGCATGGTACACATTAGACTCCTGCACAGGTGAGAAGCTCCCTCTAGTCCTTTGCTGAATGTAGCATTTGTTGAATTTTCTTGGTGGTCTGTAGATAGTTTGTATGTTGTGCTTCCTCATCAGCTTCCCTATGCAGTCAGTGGTCCCCTTGATGTATGGCAAGGACACTTTTCCTCTGGGCAGATCTTCATCTTGACTCTCGTGGCTTGTTCTCAGTCTTGCAGCTCTTCTGATGTCTGAGGTGGAGTCTCCATTGGCCTGGAGAGCCCAGTTGAGGTGTTTCAGTTCATCTTGGAGGAGGTGGGGTTCGCAGATTCTTTTTGCACGGACTGCCAAGGCTTTAATGGTGCTTTCTTTTTTACTTGGGTGGTGGTTGGAGTTTTTATGTAGCTATCTATCCATGTAGGTATCTAGGAGCCCCCATTGACACAGTGGGTTAAAATACTTGTTGAACTTGTTGACTGAAAGATTCGTAGGTTCGAATCCGGCGAGCGGCGTGAGCACCCGCTGTCAGCCCCAGCTTCTGCCAACCTAGCAGTTCAAAAATATACAGATGTGAGTAGATCAGTAGGTACCGCTCCGGCGGGAAGGTAACAGTGCTCCATGCAGTCATGCCAGACACATGACCTTGGAGGTGTCTATGAACAATGCCGGCTCTTCAGTTTAGAAATGGAGATGAGCACCAACCCCCAGAGTAGGACATGACTGGACTTAATGTCAGTGAAAAAATTGACCTATATATGTGTGTGTGAGTTTTCTGTAAACTGTGTGACCCAATTGTTGATCTGGTTTACGGATGACTAGGACATTTAGAAATGGCAATTTTTGAGGTAATTTCTTTACCAGAAAGCTGCAGATCAAGACTTCCACTGCTAAACAGCCCTTGTGGTTTTCTTACCTCCATCTTTCCTCAAACTACAAAATTGATCGAGTGTTGAATGGAAGGGATCCAGTGACACTTGTTTATTTATTTATTTATTATATTTGTATACCGCCCTTCTCAGCCCTTAGGCAACTCAGGACAGTTTACAGTGGCAACGATTCAATGCCCCAAAACACCATAAAACATTTAAAAACTTTAACACATAATATAAAACCATAACAAGAATACTGAAAGCATACATCATTTGCATCGCCTAACAAAAACATTGTCCCATCTCGTTTTTCAGTCGTTCCAATTCCTATGTCTTTTACCTTGGGTTTTCAAATGCTTGCTCAAACAATTATTTATTTTATTATTTATTTACTCCTTTTTCTCAGCCCTCGGGTGGCTCAAAGCAGTTTACGGTAGCAAAATTCAATGCTTGAACATCAAAAAACAGATTACAACAATTAAAAACCATAGCATCAATATACAAACATTACAAAGTCAATACTACATAACTCATGGCATCTCTTAGTTAAAATCAAGATCCAATCTCATCATCCAATCGTTTCATGTTCCAATATTTGTTACACTGCCTTTTCGAATGCCTGCTCAAATAACCAGGTCTTAACCTTCCTACGAAATGCTAACAGAGAAGGGGCCGATCTAATATCTCTTGAGAAGGGCGTTCCATAGCCAAGGGGCCACCACTGAGAAGGCCCTATCTCTCATCCCCGCCAAACGTTTGTGATGAAGGCGGGATTGAGAGCAGGGCCTCCCCAGACGATCTTCATGTCCTAGCTGGTTCATAGGAGGACACACAAACAACCAAGTCTTGGCTCTCTTCTGAAAGGGGCCGATCTAATGTCCCCAGGAAGGGCATTCCATAGCTGAGGGGCCACCACTGAGAAGATCCTGTCTCTCGTCCCCAACAACCGTGTTTGTGACACAAGCGGGATCGAGAGCAGGGCCTCCCCAGTCGATCTTAAAGTCCTTGAAGGTTCATAAGGGAAGATGCATTCAGACAGATAAGTTGGGCCAGAACCGTTTAGGGCTTTATAGGCTAAAGCCAGCACTTTGAATTCTGCCCGGTAGCAAACTGGCAGCCAGTGGAGGTGGCGCAGCAGAGGAATTGTATGCTCCCTGAGTGTCGCTCCTGTTAGTTATCTGGCTGCTGTCTGTTGGACCAGTTGAAGCTTCCAGACAGACCAGAGGAAGGATTGGCCTCATGCCTTCCATGGCTGTCCTCTTTCAATCTACCCTTCCAAAAATTGAACAAATTCGGCCTTGGGATGATGGGAAGAACCTCCTGAGTGAAAAAGTACCTTCCTTTTGGTTCCCTCACTTGCATTAATCCGTCATCCCCTCTCTCCTAGATCTACCATGGAAGCCTTGTTGAAAGCGGAACTCAAGGATGCCGCCGCTGAAGAATCCTCAGAGAAAGACCAGGAAGGCGACAATGGTTTGCTTGACTTTTTCGACATTCAGCCCCAGCAAGGGAGATCAGTAACGGACCCAGTTGAGGAAGAAATCTCAAAGTACCTGAAGACTCCCAGTCGGGAGCTGTCGTCCCTGCTGGCCTTTCCAATTATATGGCGGAGTTTTTTAAAGTTCAACACAGGCGTGCCTTCGAATGCTGCGGCGGAAAAACTCACCTGTAGGGACGGGAATGTCGTGGCTGCCAAAAGGCATTCCTTGCCAGACGATATTTTTGAGGACTTGGTTCTTCTGAAGCAGAACAGGGCTTTATTAACATTTCAAGCTGCAAAACACAGTTCGGTTTAAGAGCGGCAAAGTGGGCAAAATTGTAGGATTGGTAACAGTTTGGCACTCATTGCACTGGCTCATAGGAGTTGTAGTTTTACAAGGTCTTTGGCCTTCTCTGCCAAGGAGTTCTGGTGCCTTGGCGAATTACAACGCTTGGGATTCCTTAGCACTGAGCCATGGCTGTTAAAGTGGTGTCAAACTGGATTAATTCTACAGTGTAGTGCAGGCATGGGCAAACTTAGGCCTTCGAGGTGTTTTGGACTCCAACTCCCACAATTCCTAACAGCCTCAGGCCCCTTTTCTGCGGCTGAGAGGGAAAAGGAAAGGGCCTGAGGCTGTTAAGAATTGTGGGAGTTGGAGTCCAAAACACCTGGAGGGTCCAAGTTTGCCCATGCCTGGTGTAGTGGCACCTGCAGTTATGAGTTCTCCTTTGGTAGAATCCTAATTTATATTTTCATTGGATAGAAACAACTATAATACCAAATTTAATGTAATAAAATATAACTATCGGTGAAAAGCCATTATTTCTACTGTGTCGGCTATTTAATTATTTTGCCAACACCAACACAGTTCAAGGATAAGCCTTTTGATTTCCAAGGATAATTTTACTAACGGAGGGATTTCTATTTCTGAATAATCCAAGTGGCTGGTTGGGTCTCATATATTATTATTTGCTCCAGAACCAGACTAAAAGTGCCAATCAGCTTCTAAGTGGCAGCGCAGGTACTAGTAAGTGACACTGGCACATGACCCCTCGGAGACAAAGGTGGTCATTTCGGAACCGCTGGCGATCACCTTTGAGAGTTCTTGGAGAACGGGAGAAGTCCCAGTGGATTGGAGGAGGGCAAATGCGGTCCCAATCTTCAAGAAGGGAAAAAAGGATGACCCTAACAATTACAGTCCAGTCAGCCTCTCGTCGATACCAGGCAAGATGCTGGAAAAGATTGTTGAGGAAGTGGTGTGCAAACACTTAGAAACAAATGTGGTCATCGCTAATAGTCAACACAGATTTGTCAAAAACAAGTCATGCCAGACTAATCTGATCTCTTTTTTCGATAGAGTTACAAGCTGGGTAGAAGCGGGGAATGCCGTGGATGTAGCGTACCTGGATTTCAGTAAGGCCTTCGACAAGGTCCCCTACGACCTTCTGGCAAACAAACTAGTCCAATGTGGGCTAGGCAAAACTACGGTGAGGTGGTTCTGTAATTGGTTAAGTGAATGAACCCCAATGCTTCCTCTTCATCCTGGAAAGAAGTGACGAGCGGAGTGTCATCAGCAGGGTTCTGTCCTGGGCCCGGTCCAACATCTTTATTAATGTCTTAGATGAAGGGTTAAAGGCATAATCACCAAGTTTGCAGACGGGACCAAATTGGGAGGGATAGCCAATACTCCAGGAAACAGGAGCAAATTCAAAACGATCTTGACAGGTTAGAGAGATGATTGGCCACAACTAAAAAAAAAGAAGTTCAACAAGGACATATGCAAGATACTACTCCACTTAGGCAGAAAAAAAATGAAATGCAAAGATACAGAATTGGAAACGATGCCTGGCTTGACAACAGGACGTGTGGAAAAGATCTTGAAATCCTCATGGACAGAAAGGTGAACATGAGCAGCAGCTTAAAAAGCCAGCGGGATTTTGGCCTGCAGAAATAGGAGTCTAGTGTCTAGATCCAGGGAAGTCATGCTCCCCATGCTCTATTCTGCCTTGGTCAGACCACACCTAGAATAACACTGTGGCCAGTTCTGGGCATCACAATTGAAGGGAGATGTTGACAAAGCTGGAATATGTCTGGAGGAGGGCGACTCACATGACCAAGGATCTAGAGAACAAACCCTATGAGGAGTGGCTTAAAGAGCTGTTTGGACTGCAGAAGAGAAGGCTGAGAAAAGGCACGATGAGGACAATGTATAAATATGTGAGAGGAAGTCATAGGGAGGAGGGAGCAGGCTTATTTTCTGCTGCCCTGGAGACTAGGACGCGGAACAATGGCTTCAAACAACAGGAAAGGAGATTCCACCTGAACATTAGAACATTAGAACTTCTTGACTGTCAGAGTTGTTCAGCAATGGAACTCTACCCCGGAGTGTGGTGGAGGCTCCTTCTTTGAAGGCTTTTAAATAGAGGCTGGATGGCCATCTGCTGAATGTGATTTGAATGTGATTTTCCTGCTTCTAGGCAGGGGATTGGATTAGATGGCCCACAGGGTCTATTCCAACTTTATGATTCTATGAATTCCAATCAACCTCAAAGCAGATTCAGTTGCAGGATATATGGCACATTATTTGCAGGATGGGATGTCATGAGAGCACCTCCCTCCCCAATTAATGGTTGTGCAGCTGGGAATTTTCAGGACTCGAGTAGACATATCTTTTACTAGCTATGAGTACACACAGATGGGAGAAAATTAGGGATTTCAGCAGAACGAGTGGCCAGGAAGTCTGGGATTAAAAATCAGGTGGTTTCTTCCACCCATTGCACAAGTCTGTGTCACAACAAACAGTGATATTCGTCCACCGCGCACTCTTCTTCACAGGGTGATCACAATCCACTGAACCTCTTGGGCCTTCATAGCATCCGTATGCCACATGGTGCAATGTTACAACTGTGGAGGGGAAAAACAATGTCAGGAAGATGTATGTTTTCAAAGAATTATGCCCAATAAGTATGACTCGCAATCAAGAGTTTGTGCTTCTCTTCAAATCCCTCCCCTTCTGAAAAAGAAAGAGACTAATTTTTGCATTCAAGGGAGCAATCCATTCTTAATTGTCTTGTTTACTTCTTCTGAACAGAGGCCCTGCAAACCTGGTTCAGACAGGTATACTTTCTAATCTAATATACGTTGCAGTTTCTAGAAGTTAGGCAATCCTTTTTTGTATTTGAAAGAGAGCAAAAATCTATACTTGATTAGCTCCAGGTCCGCAACTATGTTATTTCCATGTATTGTCGAAGGCTTTCATGGCGGGAATCACTGGGTTGTTGTAGGTTTTTTCGGGCTATATCGCCATGGTCTAGAGGCATTCTCTCCTGACGTTTCGCCTGCAGGCGAAACGTCAGGAGAGAATGCCTCTAGACCATGACCATATAGCCCAAAAAACCCTACAACAACCCTATGTTATTTCCATTTCCCCAGACCATCTAAGGGTCACAACCAGTGCCAGGCATGGGAGAGGCAGCGTTCACATTCACACTTGCCTTTCTGCACGCAGAATTGCTCTTGCAGACGAGTCATACACTTTGCAATCGTTACTTTGAGCAGATGGGGCCATTTTTTAAAGTCTCCATGGCGTGGCATTAAGGCCACATTTAGAAAAGAGGGGTTCCCACCCAGTTCCTGCTCAAGAGGTGTCTCTTTCGCTCAGGTGACACTGCCCCACAAGTTTGGAATGAGTTAAATATAGGGAAAGGGGACAAAGCACAATGGTAATTTTAAAAGGATGGAAGCAGAGTCTCCAACAAATCCCCAAAGGGTCTAGACATGTGGTTCTCAACCTTCTTAATCCTAAGACCCCTTAAAACAGTTCCTCATGTTGTGGTGACCCCCAACCATAAAGTTATTTGTGTTGCTGCTTCATAACTGTAATTTTGCTACTGCTATGAATTATAATGTAAATATTTGATATGCAGGATGTATTTTCATTCACTGGACCAAATTTGGCACAAATGTCCGATACGTCCAAATTTGAATACTGGTGGGGTTGGGGGGATTGATTTTGTCATTTGGGAGTTGTAGTTGCTGGGATTTAGAGTTATCCTACAATTAAAGAGCATTCCGAACTCCACCAGCAATGGAATTGAACCAAACCCAGCAGATAGGACTCCCAAATGACAAAATCAATCCCCCCCAACCCATCAGTATTCAAATTTGGACGTATCGGACATTTGTGCCAAATTTGATCTAGTGAATGAAAATACATCCTGCATATCAGATATTTACATAACAATTCATAGCAGAAAAATGACTAACAGAAAATACTGGAAAGGTTTGGACCTTGCCAGTATTTTCTGTTAGTCATTTTTCTGCTATGAATTGTTATGTAAATATCTGATGGGCAAATATCTGGTGGGCATTGACTTTGAGCTTTGGAGCTGTAGTTCACCTACATCCAGAGAGCACTGTGGACTCAAAACAATGATGGATCTGGACCAAACTTGGCACAAATACTCAATATGCCCAAATGTGAATACTGGTGGAGTTTGGGGGGAAATAGACCTTGACATTTGGGAGTTGCAGTTGCTGGGATTTATAGTTCACCTAAAATCAAAGAACATTCTGAACCCCACCCAGCACCCACAATAGAATTGGGTCAAACTTCACACAGAGAACCCCTATGACCAACAGAAAATACTGTGTTTTCTGATGGTCTTTGGCGACCACTCTGACACCCTCTTGCGCCCCCCCCCCCCCCCAAGGTCCCGACCCCGAAGTTGAGAAACGCTGGCCTAGACAGAAAGCAAAGAAGAAATAGAGACTCTCCAGAGGATCTTCTTCACACAGATCTCTAGGTCAGTGTTTCTCAACCTGTGGGTCCCCAGGAGTTTTGGCCTTCAACTCCCAGAAATCCCAGCCAGTTTACCAGCTGTTAGGATTTCTGGGAGTTGAAGGCCAAAACATCTGGGAACCCACAGGTTCAGAACCACTGAAAGGGATTCCCTTCATCTGTTTTCCTGCCTTCTTGGTTGACACTGATATCTTCAGTTGTTCATTTACCTGGACCCCTCTTCCCATAGAGGAGGAGAAAAAAATCTATGTGTGACTTTGCTTATAAACTAGGTATGGGCAAACCCAGATCCAGGGGTTGGATGCAGCCCCTTGAGCTCTTTTCTCAGGCCCCCTCACCATCTCTTCCTTCCTTCCTTCCTTCCTTCCTTCCTTCCTTCCTTCCTTCCTTCCTTCCTTCCTTCTTCTTTTCTTCCATCCATTCATCCATCCTTCTCTTCCTCCCTCCTTCCCTTCTCTCTTTCCTTCCTTCCTTACCTCCTTCTTTCTCTCTCCCTCCCTCCCTCCCTCCCTCCCTCAATGAGCACTTACGTACCCTCATAAAACCCCGTCGTATAACATCTTCCAGACTGAGTTTCACACACTTTGCTGCTGTTCCGACAATCGGAGAGTTTCTGACTCTGGCATTCTTTGCACAATAGCTGCTGGGCTGAGAAATTAAAGGAGAATTAAATGGAATATGTGCAACACACAAACATAAACACATTAAATTTATGAACCCAAAATAGCATAAACATGCACACACTCCAGTTTTTCCATTTTAAATCACAATGTCAGACCACACAGTGAAA